TGACATCCGTGAAGCCGATTCATCCAACAACAGGAGCTAATCGGATCGAGTACAAGTACATACGGTTCCAAACGGAGTCTTCAGTTAGTCAGTATATTTGGAATAACTGACAGAAGCCCTTAAAAACCCCACTGAAGTGGTACAGGAAATCATAAAAGCAGTGAATGTGCAAAAATGTCTACGGATTGCTTTGTTATGCAAAACTTCATAAAATACTTAGGAAATATGAATGGTTAAAAAGGGGAATAATATGCGAAATAGCAGCGTAAAACACTTTCACTGCATTTCCTCTATGAAATGTTTGCCTGACCCAAATGTAATTTAAATAGAAAGTCTATTGAAATTACAGGAGTAGTATGTGTGTGGTCATCTATTTTATCTATATGGCATAGGTCAAACGCCATATATTTTTGCCATAGGTCGTCATTAATAAGTACGCCAAGGTCTCTTTGCGCAACCACGGTTTCAAGTGGTTGGTCTCAAGATATATTATCGCGAGAGTGTATTTCTACGACGTCTTGTTGAAAAAATATGCATTACTACACATTTTTGGGACTACATTTCATGCACCAACTCTTGCTCCATGAGAGCAGTTGGTCTATATCCTCTTGTAGTATCTGGGAGACCCTTTCGTCTTTTGTCACTCTCCCAAGTTTGCAATCACTTTCAAAGAGTACTATGCCAGATTTAACTTCTTGCGCTATGTCATTTACGTCGATGATGAAAAAGAGCGGCTCAAGAACTGACCCTTGTGGAACTCCACTTTTGGCAGATGTCCACTCTGAACAGTAGCCACCTGCAGTAACTTTTTTGACTACGGTCGCTCAGGAACTCTTCAATCCAGTTCAGGAGATTTCCTGTTATCCGAAAGTCCGACAGCTTTCGGATGATGCGCCTATGGAGAACGCGATCAAACTGAAGTCAGAATAGACAACTTCTACTAGATGTCCTTCATCGACGGCTTTTGTCTAATGTTCGAGCGTTGTAATAAGATTGGTGAGGCAAGATTTTTTCATAGAAACCATGCTGGGCTGGACTGATTTGAAAGCGAAATGGATGGAGCGATAAAATCGATTTTTTAATTATCCCCTCCATCAGTTTGCAACAAATTCATATCAAGCCGCGTATCAGGAAGTTTCGTACGTGAAAAACGCCGCGGAGGCCGTTGGTTGCCTTCGCACACCGCTTGGAGTTGGAGTCGCACACACAGCGGAGGCAACCACTAGGTGTCAGGTAATGAAACCAAAAGACGCACTGCTGTAGCAAGAAACCTCTTGAGTCGGCTATCGGATCAGGCACCGTAGTTGCGGACAAAGCAACTACGTCGGAGAAACTGGAAGACTTCTCTGGACGCGCATTGCCAAATACACGGCAGCTGTGCGAAGAGATGACACCATTTCTCAAGTCGCGGTCCATTCAACAAGACTCAGCTACACTTTCATATTTCATAACACCGAAATTCTCCCGAAAGGTAATAATCTTGGAAGCCGCCGATTGCCGAAATCACGGTTTACGGGCCGCTAGTCTATAAACTAATGTAATGGTCTGCCCAATCCATATTCGATGCTGAATCTCAGTTTGGTCAAAGCAACT